GACATTTGCTGCACCAGACAAAATAAAACAACGGGATGGCCCCCTGCTGATCATGAGCACACAGAATGGTTGACTGTTACGTAATTTCCGGGCGAGAACAATAAAACAGATATAAATATTGTACCGTCTCATTTTTTTCCATTAGGAAACCTGTATACAAAATAAATTCAATGAGACTGCCAGGTATTTTATTAGGTGAGGAAACGGCCCTGCTGGGTCTGTTACCATGACGAGGGGATATCTCCAGGCGCCTATATCACACAGGTATCGTATGACCTGAGGGAAAACTATACACGGCAACAACTAGCCAACCATGACCAAAATTGATAAGTTGAAAGTGAATCTAGTTTAATCAATGTCCACGACAACCATTACTAATCAGGTTGCTTTTTCTTCTAAATAAGTCAGAAAGCTGACCAGAAAAAACAACGCTGTTTAAACAACCCTTAACAAGAGAACAACTTACTGGGTGATTCGCCTCACAATTTTATGTATGTCCCCAAAATAATAGCACTTTGAAATTAATGAATAATTGTTTTGAGCTCAAAGCCCACCAGACATGCCTCCTCCCCTGTGTGGAAACCAATAACTTATCAATAAATGTAATACCATCCCCGGTGACATTCTGGTGAGTCCACAAATACACACGGTATCAGATGAAGTCACGTTTAAATCAACTATGATGACAATCTCCACATATTTTACTTTTTTTCCCTGCGAATTCCAATTGAAAAACAATTTTCTTGATGCCTTTAATGTATATTGGCAAACGGCGGGAACACCATCATTTCGTAAAACCTCGCCTCTACAACATTAAATTGAGAGGCTGGTTTTATATGGCCCTCAACAGTGCAAGAATATGGCCAACACAAACATACAAAATGAGCAAAGCCATGAAACACAAATTACCATAACTGAGATATATAAACGACAGCCATAAGTAGCTATCAGTAGTGACCTTGACCTAGAAAATACACCAAAAGCACAACAATAATTATTTGACCTCGTTCAAAATACACTGCTCTGATACAACACCTAGTAGTGGCCATGAAAAGTCTTGAATTCTTTCCATGGAAAGGGCTTTTTGCTATTTTGATCTTGAACATGACAGTAGACCTTTAATTCAAGGGAGAATTTTGCTACATAATTACATACTTTCATTGACAAAATGCAAAAAGTAGAGATGTTCCTCATAAAGTTTTCTTTTTAGCTCGGCGAATCATTGCCTAAATGAGTCCTTCTGGAGTTGTTTCTTTATTCTCATATGAAACGAAAACTCGTTACAAATCCTATATTTACTACATAGACACATTAGGCTAGCAAGCTAATTTATATTTTGTTTTCTTTTTAAGAAAAATCTGACCGAAAATTAATGTGAAGGTAAGTAAGTCCACAAGCTTAAGACATATCATGTCCACCACTGAAACCATCAGCAGAGAGCCATAACTACGTAATTGTGTCCCCCTAGAGACACACATAGAAATAGTAACACTAACTTCTTACGTATAACCATAAATATCATAACATTCAAATGTTATCTGGATTGTGTTGCCTGCAGCTGATGTCGAATTGAGGAGAGCAGCGGTTTGAAACAGAAATGTCATTTCTGTAACGAAGATTATAAAAAACTAATTGTAGCTTAAGCTTGTTATAAAACAGAATGCAGTTGTTCAATACAACCACATTTACATGTAAAACCATTTCATGGTGCTCCAGTGAGACGTTCGGGGAGGTTGTCATGTTTCGTCTGATTTAATTTGCATTTACTGCACAAATTTACATCCAGAAGAGACAAAGATACTCACTGCCTAGCATCATGGAGCCTGAACGAATCATGGAGCCTGAACGAATCATGGAGCCTGAACGAATCTGTACACACGACCATAGCATCATGGAGCCTGAACGAATCATGGAGCCTGAACGAAGCTGTACACGTGACCAGAACATGGACCATTTCTAGACCTGTTGAAGGTCACAAAATCTGTACAATGGGCCATAAACATGGGTCATTTCTTGTTCTTCAGAACATTGACCCTTTTTAGCTCTGCAGATCACTGACCATTTCTATCTCTGCAGATCACTGACCATTTCTTATTCTGCAGAACATTGACCATTTCTAGCTCTGCAGATCACTGACCACTTCTTGTTCCACAGAACATTGACCATTTCTAGTTCCAGAGAACATTGAGCATTTCTAGTTCTGCAGAACACTGACCATTTCTAGTTCTACAGAACATTGACCAATTTTAGTTCTGCAGAACATTGATCATTTCTAGTTTCAGAGAACATTGACCATTTCTAGTTTTACAGAACATTGACCATTTCTAATTCTGCAGAACATTGACCATTTCTAGTTCCAAAGAACATTGACCATTTCTAGTTCCACAGAACATTGACCATTTCTAGTGCCAGAGAACATTGACCATTTCTAGTGCCAGAGAACATTGACCGTTTCTTGACCTACAGATCATGGAATTTTTCTGAATATGGACCATTTCTAAAACTGCAAAACAGACACAATTTCTAAAACAGCAGAACCTAGATAATTTCTGAACCAGCTCCAAGCTTAGGTGGTTATATAATGGGCCTGCACATATGACTATAAAACACTTGACCACTCAATGACAGGAAATGTTGACATATAAAATTTCTCTAATACTACATTTGTATTTCATTTGACTGCAAAGCACAGTACTATTACCAAAGGTAGCAGTATACAGTAGAGAGTTGTGGCCATGGGTGATATTTTTGTTAAATGGCTAACCCCTGTATAATGATATGTAAAAAAATTATAAAACTAAAACTGCACTAAAATTGGTATAAGCATGATGAAGTGGGCTATGTGAGCTTCACATTTGTAAAAAAGAAAGAAGATTTCTTTGGTTCGAGAATAAAATTTTGGCCATAATCCGAAAGGGTGCGTACACATGAAAAGCTAGCTTTACAGGAGGTAAAATTTTGACAACAGCACACGACGCAAAATTGCAAAAAATCAAGTTCTACAATTTTACTGCGACCCAGATAATTCTGCAACCAGGTAGGTAATCTTTAATTTCAGACAGAGCTTAGGAAAAAAATTACTACTTGCGGGGGTCAAATTTTGGGTTAAAAATAGCATTTTTTGGCATTTTTTGGTAATTTTTGATGTGGTAACCATGGTTTTCACACAAGTGACATACATAGAAAAAAGAGGTTTATACACTTCTCAGTACTTTATATGTATTGTAAATGTAATGCAGTTTACAAATATATATACATGTATACATGTGTTGTGTAGGGTAAATCCGCTGTGTTTACATTTCCTCGACATGTGCCTTGTTTATCAGAGTCGGGCCATTTCTACTGTACACTGCTACCAAAGAATAATACATTTATAACATATATCTAGTGTTTGCTGTAATTTTACACATCATTGTGACTACACGTATTATCGCAACAGAAAAACAAGGCCTTCAAACTGAACGCAAATATCAAATAATACATATATATTATTTACTTTCTGGTATTTGTTTTTCATTTGCTTAAAGAGACTTTTAATGAAAATAATTGACAAAATGTAAAACACAAACAAACTTTGCAAAATGATTCAGGTCCCTAAACAAAATATCAGGGTAGGATTTGGATGGATGGATGCAATAACCCCTGTACCTGTCCCTTCCAACATAAATCCATGTGTCATGAGCATAAACTTATCTGATGACCAACCATCCTTTAAACACCTATCCCAGACGCTCTGTTAGAGCCAGACTGTCAAATTATTATCTGATTTACAGCTATGCTGCCAAATTGTCATTTAATTTAAAGAGTCAATAATCACAGCAATATGTATTATTGATTTCAATAATGCGATTCTCATCCTTTATGTACATATTTATCCCATCCCTAATGCGATTCTCATCCTTTATGTACATATTTATCCCATCCCTTAATCAAATGAATTGTGACCAGACCATCCCTATCAATAACAAACCTTAACACTATTGTAGACATCACAGTCGCCGCAGGTGACATCATAATAGAAAAGGTTTTTATCTAGAGGGGATAATCCCAGCTCTGGTTTATCATCACGCCTACATGCAAAAATTTCCGTTAATCTATATCTTTCTTCAGCATTGTTTATTCATAGCTATTGGCTGCATACAGATAGCTGTACTGTGCTCTGCAAAGGGGGAGACATATAAATACAGCTAACAAGAGTCATAATATAAGGATATATATGCATAGGAAAGACTTTGTGATGTAAACAATTAAATATTGCTCAGAATTATATATTTCAGAACAGAATTATACTTTAGAGAAGAAATCACACTTTATGTTCATGTACACGTAGAAGTCATGAAAAGAATGACTCACTGCTTAAACAAATCTGTCTTCTGAATAATTAAATCTTCTATTGCACAAAAAGGAAATTAAAGAAACAAAATTATGACAGATAATATTATAATACTGTAGTTTCAATTGATAATAAAAAAAAAATGCAATTATTCCTTTCGACAATATCAAAAGAAGTTGTGAACAAATCATTTAAAATGTTCCAACTAATTACAATGCAGGTATGAAATTTCTTTTTATTCATTAAATTCATTAGCAAAAAGACAAACAAAAAACAAATTGCAAATCAATATATTATGCAAATAAAGACTTGAAAGCAAATTCATTCTAGTTTGACATTGAAACAACACAAGGGTCAAGGTCATTTGAGAGTGGATCTAGGGTGCACACAAACAAATTCAAATGGCAGTCATTTGGAAGTAAAACGTAGATTTTTTTTGATTTTTTTTTAAACCATTGAGCGTAGTTGCACAGACATGATATGTAGCAGTGAATGTAAAATGACAAAGAAAGACTAGTGAATATAACAGGCAACATGGGGGGACGTGTCCCCTTAGTGATCAACACAGTGGAGGCGTGCCTCACAAGAACCACAGATAAGACACACCAGTGAAGACTGAGAGAAGTGTTGTCTGTCAAGTGACAGGTCTATCTAGAAACTATCTCACCTTCTTCTGTGAGTTTCCCTTTGAGAAAATATGGCTACAGTTCAGCTTACATATCAATACATGATGACTGCTTAAAAATGCTAGATACCAAGTCTTGTCTTTTCTCGAATTTCCTCAAGGAACCAAACCTACTCCGATTAGGTTTGTACAGATAAAATTGATGGGTTTTTTTATTTCTTATCTGTAATACCACTGAGCAATGTTCAACACAATTTTTATCAGCAAATACTGCTATTGATTGTTGCACAACAAAATTCTTCATAGAAAAACACAAAACAATGGGCTGCAAGGATAGTTTTTCTTTCAGTAGATGACCTGCTAAGAGATACCAGCTTATCAGTGTTGGCCTTTTCTGAAAAGTCCTTGACAGCATCTTGTGACATTCCTAGAAAAATCTGGTCTCCCTAAACAGGTGTCTACAGGCAAGGTCAAAGTCAAGGTCATATTAGCAATGAACCAAAATATCTACATTGAAATTGAAGGAAGAAATTCTGCATGATCGATTTGAGATAGCAAGCCCCTATCATTCATTTACAAAGTATTTTTGCAGGTCTATTTCAATGTGTGAAAATGCTAAAGTTCAACTGAAAATAATTTTAAGCACCAGAGGGAACGTGTAACAAACAGAATTGATATAATTGGCCTTGACCTTGACCTTGACCTTCATCTATCCTGACAACTTCCTTTGAGATCCACCAACTACACACTTTCTTATTGAAAATAAATTGAATCCTACTGCTTACTGCTTGTCATTTTTATCCTCATAAGATATTTCCAAACATGATAAATGATCTCAGATATAACAAAACTTAATTGTATCGGACGGAACGTAACGAAGATTTTCACTTGAAAGTCATATTTCTTTCTTAGTCCTGTCACTTGGTTTCCAAATTACCAGCTTTTCCCCATGTATTTTAGGAATCTGTTGGGAAAATATGTTTTCTGAAGGAATTCAGTATTTCTTAAATCTTGTTACAAAGCAGATGAAACTGTGTTTTACCAGAAGCAAAATGATTTTATGTTTTTGGTACTGGGGCTCAAATAAATCAACAGGAAAACCCCTAGTTACACATTCATAAAATGTCTATGGCTGAAACAGTTTTTCGGGCAATAATGCAGTATTTGATGATTTATTCCAAAGTTTAACGCATCTTGTAGCGACTGTAAAAGAGGCTGCGATACTTACATCTGAATCTGGTCCCACGTCCGCCCCTGGGCATGTAAATGAAACAAACTCATGGCACCGCTTGTGGACAACGAAACTGCACACTGAAAAACACAAGTCAACACACCAATATAAGTCATATTTCAAAGGCTAAACAAAGCTGAGAAATGATGAATTATGCTTAAAAGTCAGTGGCATGTAAAATCAAAACTTTCAAAATGTAGAAATATATTCTCAACAGCCTATCAGAAACACTTTTAAGACATCTTTATGACGTTAATCACTATTTGGATATGATGGGGACTGCTCACGATGTATGATCATGTTTATATATACGTCAACATCTGTACAAATCAGTAAATAGAACTTGTATTAAGTGTCTACATCACCAGTTACACTAACAAAATTACCCATTCTATTGATAACAAAGCATTGTGAGTAATCCGTATTCCCCAAATCTCCGAAAACAATTCTGTATAAAAAAAATCACAAACTCTGTATAAAGGAGGGCACAAAACCCAATTTGAGTGCATGACAATCTCGCACTCAAACAAATACTTTCATACAAAATTTGGTAATTATAGGTGACAGTGTATATATGAGATATACCCTGGACAAAGTGATTCATGGTTAATAAAGGGCCAAAACTCTGTATACAGAGGGACACAAGACCAATTAAGTACGCAAGCAGAATATTTGCATAAAGTATGTGACATTTTGTTAACATTTCAATCTTTGATTATTTCTGCACTGGCATACATTATAGTGAAATTTGTATCAGGATGTTGGTAATTTACTAGAACAGGGTCATGTTAGTGACATTCTATAGCCCTAGTGTGTTCTGATGGTAGTCGTACCAGCTGTTGTTATCGTCATTATTATGACGTCAAAATTGTAACCCTGGATACCACAAAACCTTTCCCAGAATATGTCTGTTCTATTCAATCAACAATCAAACATGACACACACATGTTCTATATATATATAGTTCAACCAATTTCCGACTACCTATAAACTGATTTGATTGCCTATGAAATCAAAAATATTCCAAAAATAAGAACATAAACTGCTACATTTGTAACAGGAGACTTAGAGATTTACTATAAAGCACTAGCACACTGTATAGAAACAGTTGTTTCCAGTTCAGTGCTTTAATATATGATAGCTTTGACATTTGTATTGCGGTTTGCATTGGTACAAGCCAGCTGGTTTGCTGAGTATATGGTTTCCTCGTCATAAAGGGTTCGAGGACAATGACATATGATCATGTTAATAAATCAGGGAATATACACAGAGGACAACAGGTGTAATCTCCATACATCCCAGATATTTTCCATCCAAACAGCGTCCTACATGATCATGATCCGGTGGATTGATATTGACTAGAAGTTGTTTAGACATTATTTTCCTGTATTATTTATCCTGCACTAAGCCAAGTGGGCCAATACATAGATTTTGACTGAAAGTGGAGGGTGGGCTTATTACAGGATAACGAAATAGCAATTGTCAGTATTTCCGCTCGACTGTATGGTAGGTTTTTTTGCTAAATTAATATGGTAACTTACTATCAGCAAGAGCCATGTATAAATATTTGAGTTTCATATATCTTTGAACTTTCAATATATCTCCTATACCTTTGAATTTCATATACATTGTAGCTTTGACTTATATTCCATACTTCTACTTTCCCAAACGTATTTCTCCTCTGCGCATGCCTTCCCTACACCTTTGACTTTCCCACACCTTTACACCTGTAACTTTCCTACACCTTTCACTATCCTACACCTGTAACTTTCCTACTCCTTTAACTTTCCTACACCTTTCACTATCCTACACCTGTAACTTTCCTACACCTTTCACTATCCTACACCTGTAACCCTCCTACACCTTTCACTATCCTACACCTTGACTTTCCTACACTTTTAGCTTTCCTACATCTTTGCTTTACCTACACCTGTAGCTTTACCTACAACTTTGCTCTTCCTTAACCTTAACTTTCTGATGCCATTCACTATCCTACACCTTACACTATCCTTCACCATTAACTTCCATACACCTTTAACTGCCATACACCTTTCACTATCATACACCTTTCACTATCCTTCACCTTTAACTATCCATACACCTTTCACTATCCTACACCTGTAACTTTCCTTCACCTTACACTATCCTACACCTTTCACTATCCTACACCTTTCACTATCCTTCACCTTTCACTATCCTTCACCTTTAACTTCCATACACCTTTCACTATCCTACACTTTACACTATCCTACACCTTTAACTTTCTTACACCTTACACTATCCTACACCTTTAACTTTCCTACACCTTACACTATCCTACACCTTTCACTATCCTATCCTACACCTTTCACTATCCTACACCTTTCACTATCCTTCACCTTTCACTATCCTTCACCTTTAACTTCCATACACCTTTCACTATCCTACACTTTACACTATCCTACACCTTTAACTTTCTTACACCTTACACTATCCTACACCTTTAACTTTCCTACACCTTACACTATCCTACACCTTTCACTATCCTATCCTACACCTTTCACTATCCTACACCTTTCACTATCCTTCACCTTTCACTATCCTTCACCTTTTGCTTCCATACATCTTTCACTATCCTACACCTTTCACTATCCTACACCTTTACATTTCATTCACCTTTGACTTGCCTATGCCTTTAATTTCCCACACCTTTGACTTTTCCAAACCTTTAGCTTTCCTAAAAACTTTGTTTTTCTTACACCTTACACTATCCTACACCTTACACTATCCTACACCTTTCACTATCCTATACCTTACACTATCCTACACCTGTAATTTTCCTACACCTTTCACTATCCTACACCTTTCACTATCCTACACCTGACACTTTCCTACACCTTTCACTATCCTACACCTTACACTATCTTACACCTTTCACTATCCTACACCTTTCACTATCCTACACCTTACACTATCCTACACCTTTCACTATCTTACACCTTACACTATCCTACACCTTTAACTTTCCTACACCTTACACTATCCTACACCTTTCACTATCATATCCTACACCTTTCACTATCCTACACCTTTCACTATCCTTCACCTTTCACTATCCTTCACCTTTCACTATCCTACACCTTACACTATCCTACACCTGTAACTTTCTTACACCTTTAACTTCCATACACCTTTCACTATCCTTCACCTTACACTATCCTACACCTTTCACTATCCTACACGTTACACTATCCTTCACCTTTCACTATCCTACACCTTACACTATCCTTCACCTTTCACTATCCTTCACCTTTCACTATCCTTCACCTTTAACTTTCATACACCTTTCACTATCCTACACCTTTACACATCATTCACCTTTTACTTTCCTATGCCTTTAATTTCCCACACCTTTGACTTTTCCAAACCTTTAGCTTTCCTAAAAACTTTGTTTTTCTTACAACTTTAACTTTCATACACCTTTGCTTAACCTACGCCTTTGCTCTTCCTTCACCTTAACTTTCTGATGCCTTAAATTTCGTACACCTTTAATTTTCCTACACCTTTAACTTTCCAATACCTTTGCTTTTTTCTACAACTTTGCTCTTCCTTGGTTCACCTCTGCCTTCTCTAGACCTTTGAATAAATCCCAGTCTTAATTTTTCCATTATCCTATACCCTACCAACTGATAAGCGTGACAAAAAAAAACTTAAGTTAATATGGAATGAGTTTTTTAGTTTCTTTTTGTACTATGGAGAAAATCTATGTTAAGTAAACACATATAGAACAAGACACTACCTCAAGTGAGCTAATATTTTCATACATATTTTTATCAGTACACAAAGCCTGTTGACTTAGATGCATGCTGTACCCTCCAGCCACCAATCCTATCCTGTGTGTGAAGTGGATGCAACGTAAATAAAATCCCTGCATAATCTAACTAAAACTTCCTCAATTGAGAAAATTTTACTTTATATAAAGTCATGTATTAATCTCCTTCAAATCATTGTCTTCCTGTTGTTAACGCGACAACAAAGACTCCTTCACATTATTTTCCTGGTTGTCATAAGTTCATAATGACCATGCCTTTTCCTTTTAACACTGTGTTTCATAGAAGTATAGAGATACATTCATAAGTCTACTCTAGTTTCAGGGTAATCACTCAATAAGTACTCTTAGTATCTTAACACAGGTGGCTTCTTAATAGAGGTAAACTTTTAGTATCATAACACAGGGGGCTTCTTAGTAGAGGTAAACTTTTAGTATCTTAACACAGGGGGCTTCTTAGTAGAGGTAAACTCTTAGTATCTGAACACAGGTGGCTTCTTAACAGAGGTAAACTCTTAGTATCTTACCACAGGTGGCTTCTTAATAGAGGTAAACTCTTAGTATCTTAACACAGGGGGCTTCTTAATAGAGGTAAACCCTAAGTATCTTAACACAGGGGTCCTTAGTAGAGGTAAACTCTTAGTATCTTAACACAGGTGGCTTCTTAATAGAGGTAAACTCTTAGTATCTTAACACAGGGGGCTTCTTAATAGAGGTAAACTCTTAGTATCTTAACACAGGAGTTTTTTTAACACAGAGGTGGACTCTTGAGCAGTAGATCTGTTCTCTATAATCATACATGTGATATTGCTGCAGTAATAAAGACTAGAATACAAAATGCAGGGATGTAAAATCAATATCAAATTACCTTTAAAAAGTAGACATTAAGAATGCTATCTTACTTGGGTAAATAAATGTTACATACACAAGATTTGGTGGCTTTGACAGAGGATGGCAGCATTGCCATTTTACATAAGATGGTAGCTTTGACAAAGGGTGGCACCATGGCCATTTTACATACACAAGATGGTGGCTTTGACAGAAAGTGGCACTATTACCATTTTACAAACACAAGATACGTTGGCTTTGACAGAGGGTGGCATTATAGCCATTTTACATATACAGGATGGTAGCTTTGACAGAGGGTGGCACCATAGCCATTTTACACACACAAGATATGGTGGCTTTGACAGAGGGTGGCACCATAGCAATTTTACATACACAAGATGGTGGCTTTGATAGAAGGTGGCACCATAGGCATTTTACACACAC